TGTTGAGTGGGTCACCCTGAAGGACCTCAGAGGCAGCCCTTTCTGATGGGCATTCGGGTCTCTGACCTCATGCCATCCTCAGCAGAGGCTGCAGACAGGTATGCAGTGCCTCTGGGAAGCCCCTGCACAGCGGCCAGGGCTCAAACTGGTCAAGCCATCACGTCCACTCACACTAAGTTGCTGGACAGATACAGATGGACTTGGAGACACCGAGGGTGAGAAGTAGATCATCCTGGATCACCATGAGGTCAAATGCAACCCTAGCAATGGCCCCTGGACAAAGGGGGGCCAGGCACTGGTGAGAACTTTGTCTGCCCTCTCCTTAATCACACCCACCAGTAAGTCCTACTTCCTATCCAAAAAAAAAAAAATCAGCTTCCTTTATTTTATACACTTTTCTGACCTAAAAAATTAATAAATAAAAATCTGTACTTGGTCTCTTCCAGCAAGTCTTTTACCTTACCAGTCTCAAAAAATACTTTTGCCTCTTTAAGAAGGAACGTATCTGACAGTTTATCTGTATTTAATAAGTTTGAAATTAACAGTCTATTTGCTGGCCTGTTTATTCAGCATCACCGATGTCAGCACAAACAGATTTCTAAGGGCATCGGGCTGGCGACAGGAGCAGGGCGGAGGCCAGGGGCGTTACCATCAAGTTCTGTGACTCCGTGCACCTGGGCACTTAAGAGCGGACCACTGCGTGTTATTCACCTTCCTGGGCAGCTAGCAGAGCACACCGAAGTGAGAACATGTTCTTCAACTTCAGTTTTATTTACTGCAGGTCTAGATTTAACAGACACTCCTGTTCACTTGAAAGCCCAACTGTCCTCGCAGAGGTCAGAGAGGAGGAGACCTAAGACAGGCTTGTTAATGTCTAATGGCTGCGACTCTCGTACCTCACACACTGCAGTTAACAGCAATACACATTTCAAATCTGTTTATAAAATCTAAATTATGCTAATGCCATTTTTATCCCATTTCTCTACGATTTAGATCTTATTCAAAGGAACTGTTTACTTTTTTCCCAAATAATTATTTATCTAATTTTTATTTGTTATTATTTATTTTTTCAATTTGACCAGAGAGAGAAAAGGAAAGTGAGAAATAAGAAAGCAAGCTGCCAGGTCCCGGACTTGAACCATAGCTGGCCACGTAGGAGTCCAGCGCCTGCCTCAACCACCACACTAACTGCTGGCCCCTCAAAGGAACTGTTTCCTAAATCTCTGATTTAAATCACTGCCCCCAGGCCACCCTGAGACGTGGTGTTTAAGGCAGCTACATCCCACATGGCCAACTGAGTGGACCCAGTGGCCTGAAAAACATGCCAGGCCCGTGTGTGTACATGTCCAAAATCCTGAGAATGGAGGGAAAGGGCATGGCCTCCCCTAGGAAGTGCTTTCTCTCCCTCCCTCCCTCCCTCCCTCCCTCTCTCTCGCTCTCTCGCTCTCTCCCCCTCTGTCAAGAGCACATGCCCTACAGCAAGTTTTAAAAATAAATAGAATACTGTTCTCATGTTATGCAAACATTCCATCTGGAGAAACCATTAACATTAAAGTGTACTTGGAGATGTTCAGCACCGTGGAGCCTTACTTATTAAACCTGGTGGCGTACCGCACACACCCGTAGGGCTGGCATCACCACACTAACGTCCACGGGCATTGCCACCCATAAACAAGAATTCCGAGAAGGGGCCGGCCGGTTGGTACTGAAGAAAAAAGCACAAGTGAGAAATTAACCAGAAGGCTGGAAAGGTTCATTCTATTCACTGAGAGGATGTATACCGTAAAAAAAGATGCTCTTGGAAACGCACGGTTTGGCCAGCCTCGGACACGTGCCTGTAGCGGCAGCAAGCCCCAGGAAAAACACGGGGGGCACACGGGCTTGCTCGTGAGCCCAAACCGCAACAGGCTGGAGAAATGGAAAAGGACCGCAGCGTGCCCAAACCCCTCTGGGGGTGCTTCCCCCCCACCCCATCTCTCTCCCTCTCTCTGGCAAGCACACGCGGCCTCTGTAAAAATTTAAAATAATAAATTAAAAAGTATGAAGAAATCCAACACATGAAAAAGTATTTCTATATAGCAAAGATGAAAGGTAACGTGCCTCCTTGGCTGCCCACATTTGTTGCTATTTATTTGTGGAAACTATAAAGTGTTTGCTATGCTTTGTTTCAAATGGTATCAAATTTACATTTTAAAAAATAGCTTAAAGAAACATACATGCAAAGCAGGGTATTCCCAACCTTTAATTAAGGTTCAGGATTTCAGAGAAGAAATTGATCAAACTATAAACATAAAAGAAAATTAAAGACAAAAACCTGCAATGAAAGCTGGGAAGACTTGGGATCAGTGCCTGTAGCAATGGCTATGTCGCTGGACTCCCACGTAGTCAACCGCGGTTCGCGTCCCGGACCTGGTGGCTTAAAACTCATGCCGGGCGCGTGTGCGTGCGTGCCCAAGATCCCGAGAGGAAATGGAGGAGAAGGGATTGCGGAGTGGCCATCCTCCCTGGGGAGTGATTTCTCGCTTTCTGTCTCTCTGTCTCTCTCTGTCTGTCTGGTGAGTGTACACGCCCTATAGAGAAAACCTCTCAAAAAAAAAAAAAAAAAAAAAAAGCTGGGAAGACTCGTCCCATGCAACCACTGTTGCAGTTAAGATAATAAGAGCCAGAGACAATCTTCTTTTAAAACTTAAAAACTTTATTACCTATATTTTCCAAATTTCGGCAAAGATTTCCCAATAAATCTCAAAACCTGGAATGAATCAGCCTTTTTCTTCCTTAGCTTTAAAGCATTCTAGATAATTGTCCTCAGACACCTGGTGAGACCTGAGAGGTGGGAGAGGCTGGCTCCCTGCATGACAAGAACATCCGGTTCAAACCCTGCGGGTGGTGAATCCAGAGCCCCACAGTCCTCAGCTGAGAGCCTGGGTGTGTCTCCTGGACAATGTTTCTGAGGAGAAGTCACTGCACCTGGAAGTCAGGGTACCTAATAACGCGCTATGAATGGTTGTATTCTAAAGACCATTCTTCGCTTCCCGAAGTAACGAGGCAATTCCCAGTATCACTGAACAATGGCGGCACACACGTGGTAGCTAGTAACACACCACCGCGAGGTGACAATAATGTATGTGTTAACCTAAGTGAGACTGCCTGAGCTTAATGGATCTTATTATCAATAACATTTCATTAAAACACTGTCAAAACTTAAGTTCATTCTTCTCTGTCATTTAAAGTTTATACTTCTGAGCAATCTGAGTTCTCAAGAGGATAACGTGATTTTTTGTAATGACAATTTCCAAAGAGCCAGAAACAATTCTGAAAATATGTCCATATTATAGCACACTGCTTCTGCTCAGACCTGGAGAAGCCAGACCTCACAGTACACCTCCCCTTACTCATTAAGCTTGGTGTGAGCATCCGCTCACACCCCTGGGGGTCGGCATCTGCGGAGAAGAGCTTTGTCCAGAGGGTCCCCAAGGCCAGTGGCCAGTGGTGGGAGCCACTGAGCAGTTCCGGGAGAGGAGGCAGCTGACCACACCTCACCAGCCCCACCCTGCTCTGAGGCCTCCTCCTCTGTCACGCTTTACTCACACACCAAGTGTGCACCAAGTCGAACTCCACTGAGGAACTGTTGAGGATTCAAGATCAGAAAGGAGCGGCAAATACCGCGTTCAGAAGGCTCAGACTGTAACATGCACCAAAGACCTCATTGCAAAGCAACTGTGAAGTCAGTTAATTATTCAGTTGGAAATCATGCCACTGATAAAGCGCCCAAGAAAGCGAATACTGTCCTCTGAATTTACTAATACTCTATGTAACCCAGAATACTCTTAAGCATGGTGGTCCCACCAAAAAATAAACCCAACCGACGCCTGGGCTCAGGATCTCCTGCTGCTCTCCCTGCACTCCTAGGAAAAGCCCGGAAGCTTCAGCAACTTCGGTTTTAGTTTGTAAACAAAATTCCAAATTCTAGCGAGCTTTCTGGCAGAGTAGGGAGCCTCACTGTGCAACACATTCATCTGATTCCTCATGCAGATATCAGCTTTATCAACACTGAAGATTAGAAATTACTGGTTCAAACTGCACAGTCCTAGCCCGATGACGCAATGACCCAAGGATAAGGTTTTGGCCTGAACATAAACATGGCCTCCTACTCAGTCGATTTACAGACCTGAGGACATGCCCATGCCCGGGTGAACCAGAGACCCCGCAAAGCGTCTGGAGTACACAGTTACCTGTCTTCAAGATTCTAATGACCATTAAACAGCTTAGTCAATTTTCTGTCTTAATGAGACACAGCCGGTCAATAATTCCAGCATTATAGATTCCTGAAGGAAGGCGAGAGCACAGGCAAAGATCAGTCAGAAGTTTTAAGTGACAGTTCCAGCAACTCCCAAATAGCCCGTGGGTCTGGTACACCACAAGAAGGAAAAAAACAAGTGACTGTAGCAAGGCGTAATGCAAATTAAAGCTTGCAACCTTAAAATTCCCAGGGAGGTGCTAGAGTACTGGGGACGTTCAGGGTCTGGACCAACGGGATGTAGGTAGCCTGTCTCCTGGTGGGGCCCTGAGAGCGGGGCTCCCCGGAAATGCACAAGGGGGCCACTGGGCGGTGGGCGAGGCTGATGCAGAACAAACACCGACTGCCCTCACCGGCCAGCAGGGCGTGGGGCTGGGAGAGGGAGCTCGCCGCAGCCTCGGGACCCCGAAGGCGAGGTGCGGGGCGAGGGCGGGGGCTGGGGCGGATATCCCAGGGAGTGCTGCAGGAAATGATATCCAGACTCGAAGGGTGGATCTAGGAAGAGGCCAGGGCGATGGCCCGGCGGAGGGGAGGGGTGGGAGTGGGAACTCGGCTGTGGCTCGGAGAGGCAGGATGAGGGGGCGGGACGCCCCGACGCGGACGTCCAGGGGCGCGGGCGCGGGCGGGGGCAGGGGAGAGACGGGCGGCGGGTCTCAGAGGAGGGATGGAGCAGGGGAGAAGCCGGCGGGCGGCGCGCACTTACCCCACTCGAGGAACTCGGCCACGTACTTGTCGCGGCGCAGGGCCGAGTGGCTGCACTCGGTGTAGAGGCAGACCAGCACGTCGAGCAGCGTCTCCACGCTCACGGCGCTCTCGTTGCGCCAGGGCCC